AAACTAAAATTCGACAAATAGTCCTGCATAGAAGAATTGTTCAAAGTCTAGAAGAAAATTATTACTGTTTTGCATTTGAGTGTTAAATGAAGGATTTATTTGTTTGACAATTTGTATAATTCTAAAACGTTTGAATATATTCTTTAAAAAAGAAAAGAGATTCAGAATAATGACAATTATCCAATGTTTTGTTATTTTTTTTTTAATTAATGGAGTATAAGCGTTATTACAGATTTTAAAAAGGGATGGCATTTCTTCTTAACTGATTAAACAGTTACAATGTCCTAATTCATTAACTGTTAATTTAACAGTTAATTGTATGAGGTTGTCGGAATGGTTAAACTCACACTAAAATGTCTACTTCAGAAATCGAAATTGTAACTCGAGAAACTTCTACAGAACAGAAAATCAACAAATTTTATTTTGGCATGATTTAGCCGCAGTAGACGAACCAGTGTGATTTCATGTTGGTTCTGAAGCGGTAGGCCGATTTTTGGTAAAATACCATTCTGAATATACAAGTGTAATCATGTAATCGATATTAATGTTTTGGCTCTGTTCCATCTGGCCATAGTCAGTCCATACTTTATACCTCCATTGCCATGACCTTGGAGCTAAGCACAATATTAAATCGCAAATACGGAAAGAAAGCCGATATCGTTTTATTATTTATGGTACATGGTGATATATGGACGTCGTTATCTTAGGAAATCGTTATTCTTCAAAAGGAAACAAAACAGATGAAGCTAATAATTTCTTCTCATATCCCTACCTCTATTTTACTACATACTACAAATGCTAAATAAAATACGACCTAAGCCATCTAACTTACCCCTCATAAAAGGCTTTTTTTTTAATGAAAGCGATTTTTTTAAAAAGAGTGTAGTACCTTTTTGTACCACCAACTATCTGTGCACAGATGAAAACAAATTCTATGCGATTACAACCTTTAATTGTTCTTAAATTGTTTTTGAGATTGCGAATGAAGGATCAGGTCTTATCTTGACGGTCATCCAATTTGGAATTTCATTTTAGTACATCTTTTTACAAAAATATCTTCATAATCAAACGATTTGTTCCCATTTGGAAAAGTAATATTATAATATACCAAACTATCAATTTATTTAAAAATTAACGAAGAATAGAGAACTAAATTTTTTTGTGGAAAAAAATTATATTTTTTTTTATAAAATGGTAAAATGAATGATTAATTCATGTACACAGAAAACTCAAAGAAATGACAGATATTGGTCGAAATATTCAAGTGGCAAATCTAAAAATTAGGACAACTAGTACATCATGGGAGTTGAAGAAAAGTCGAAAAAGTTAAAAAAGCGGAAAAAAAATTCAGAGATGATAGGCCTACATACTAGAATTTATACATTGTGAAACCCTTGAAGGATGTGTGGTGATTAGTGATTGTTAATCGATATTTATTTAGAAATCGTGAGATGCGTTCTGGTATGATGTAGGTTTCAGAAAAACATTTTCTTTATCGTGCCAACGTTTCCATCTTAACTGAGATCATCTTCAGGGCCTGGGATTTAGAAACATTGTTTATATATAACAATTACATTTTGGATGTGGAAAAGTGAATTTATACAATGCAAAATATATTTTTTATATATTCAATCAAAGTATTTCTACTCACTCAATGTGTTTGTCTTCTGTATAATTGTGTCATTTTTGCGTGGCGTGTCAAGAGTGCCAGTGAGATTTTGCTATTTTGTGTTTGGATTTTGAAGGAGTGCGGAAGGATGTCGGTATAGAAAAGAAATTTTTGTATAAGGCGTCGGCTGCTTTCGGGTGAAAAGAGCCGACGAAGGGAGAAATTATATTGGCGTAGCTGCGACTGAGTTTACATGTATCTGTTTTGTAATTGATGCTGTGTTTATCTCTGTTGATATAAATCATTTCTAAGAAGTTACGTTTATATTTGTTTTGTTCTGTATGTAATATTTTTGGATTTATGAAGTCGAAATTGTGTTGGTGTTCAAAATGGTGGGTAGCGAGTGCTGTAGTATTTTGCTTGGGTTTTTTGCAATCATAGATATGATGCTTTACTCTCTTGTTCAGATATTGGGATGTAAGACCGATGTAAGTTGCCGGACAGTTTAAACAGTTGATCTTGTAGATTACGTCAGATTTATTTGTTATTGGTGTGGGATCTTTAATTTTGGAAAAAGTGTTGAAATGTTTTATAATTTTTTAAATCTATTTTGACCTTATGGGACCTTAGAAATGTGTTTAATTTATGTGATAGGCCTTGGATAAATGGTATGGAAATGTATGCTGGTTTGTTTGTATTCGATAGACTTAATGTAGTATTATTAGTAATAGTGGATGGTGTTAGTGTTGAGTTGTAATTGTTGATTATTCTGTTAATTATGTGTTTAGGGTAGAGATTGTTATGGAGGATCTGTTTGTATATCTTTATGTTTTTGTGGTGGAAGGATTCATGGCTTAAGGTAATCATTCTGTGAAGTAACCCTTTGGCCGTGTTTATTATTGTATGAAGAGGATGGTGAGATGTAAAGTTGAGGTAGCGATCTGTGTTTCTTGGTTTTTGATACCAATCTGTGATTAATGTGCCATCTGGTTGTTTTATTACGAGTGTATCTAAAAATGGTATTTTTTTGTTGTTTTCGATTTCATGTGTAAATTGTAGGCGTGGGTGAAAGCTATTAAATGTATCTAATGTAGTTTGAATTTGATCTGTGGGAACTGCTGTCAATATATCATCTACGTATTTAGTGAGGAAGGGTAATGTGAAAGGAAGTTGTGGTATGACTGTATTTAGTAGATGTGTCATGATTATGTCTGCCAGTATCGGGCCTAGGTTGCTACCCATGGCTATACCAAATAGTTGTTTGTAAAATTGATTGTCGTATGTAAAATATCCGTTAACATAGCAGTGTCGGATCATTGTAATGAACGTGTTCTTTGATAGAGTTGTGTGTGGTGTTATGTTGGGCCATTTATCTTTAATAATGTTCAGTGTTGTGTCTATTGGGATGTTGGTAAACAGTGATGAAACATCTAGGGATATGAGAGAGTAGTGTGGGGGATGTGGATATTATTAATTTTGTTAATGAAATGAAATGAATCCTTTATATTATATGTGTTATCTGTGATGTTGTTGAGTATTTTGGTTAGGTATTTTGTCATGTTATATGGGGGAGTTTACAAATGAAATTATGAGTCTTAGAGGGTGTTCCGGTTTGAACTTAGAAGGATAACTTGCAGTACGGATTTCAGAATGGTGAAGGCACACGCTAGGCTCTTTGCTCCTTACTTTTTTGTATTTTATTAACATTTATACAAATGATTATTTGGAACCATTGCACATTGTTTAAATTTTACAAATAAGTGTAGGATTTCTTTGTCATGCCAACGTTTCGATCTTTATTGAGATCATCTTCAGAGCCTGGGATATTTACACATTGTTTAAATTTTACAAATTTCTACAAACTATCGTCACTTATATTCCTAGAGAACTGATTAAAGGCACTTGCAGCAATTACAAATTTATGTAGGATGGGAGAAAAAAATAAATTTCTACAATGTTAAAAACTTTTAGAAGCAATCAATGTACTCACTCAAAGTGTTTGTTTTCCATGTAGATGTGTCATTCGTGTGTGTCGTGTAGAGAGTGTCTGTGAGCTATTGATATTTTATGTTTATATACGTTGGATTTTAAACGGATGGGGAAGGAAGTCGGTATAGAAAGACATTTTGATATGAGAAGTCGGCTCCTTTCGCCTCAAAGAACATCCTGCATATATTTGTAAAATTTAAACAATATGTAAAAATCCCAGGCTCTGAAGATGATCTCATTAAAGATCGAAACGTCGGCATGATAAAGAAAATGCTTTTCTAAAAAACTACACCCGACCGCATCTCATGATCTGCAAATAATTATTGGCTAACGGTCACTAAACACCACAGTTGTACACAAATATATTTGTAAAGAGATGCAATATTTATCATTTGCATATATCCAAAAGGGAACCATCAAACATTGTTGCTCTCCCAACTTTCTGAATAGTTATTTAAGAGCTATTCATAAGGAAGTCCCGAGGTCATCTACACATGAATTGCCTTACTGGGTTGTAAGGATGGGTAATGATGGACATTGATCAGGCTAATGTGTAAGGATATGAGATATTAATTTGGTTTCACTTATGTTTTGTAGAGTGTAGATTTCCGTCCAAATGATTTCCAGAGAAGTCGGAAGCGAACAGTGCTGTTTTAATTGTAATTTTATGTGTATTTGTCGGTTCCAGGTTAAGCGTGTGTCAAGATAGAACCTAAGGTAGAGTACACAGTCGGTTTTAGGGATAAGAATGTTGTAGAAAATTATTGCGTGAGGGTAAAATCATGAATATTCTATTCTTTGCAATATCTAAAAAAGACCCAAACCTCGCGTATTTCTTATTCTTTTCTTGAACACATATACGTTGGGAAAATATGAATACTTACTAAATATATAACTTCACTAGTTTTCTTAGTCCGCTTGACCAATTAATATCTATGAATTAAGGTTTTTAGTTGAGATAAAAAAGTCAAAAAATATATTGTTTTTGTTTAAATTACACGTCGGAATCACCATATTTCTCCAACTATTATGATAATGTAATAACTATGTTATTGTTATATTTGTCATTAAATTTACTAATAAATGTAATTTACTATTTTTCGTGGTCCGCTTGAACAAATAATACCATTCAATTAATTAAGGTTTAAGTAGAGATAGAAAAGTCAGTGTCACGTGCGGGATTCGAACCCACGACCTTTGGCTTGATACGCCGCTACTGTACCACTTGAGCTATCGTGACTTCGATCCCCTCGGGCACTAACTTCCCATCTATGGGAATCACCAACATCCCAATAAATGTAATATTTGTTATACTATGATTTAATGAAACCGTAATTTCCACCTCTTTTTTTAACAATTTTTATTTAAGTCGATTGATAATTAAAATTCTGTTGCAGGTTTGCTGAGGCTGCAGCAGATATACCAGAGTTTAAAGCCAGGCTCTGACTCGTTTCAAGTTGAGACTGTCAAGAGAATTCAAAACGCATCGGAAGCAATTGATTTCCTCCACAATTTAGAAGACCTAAGCAGGTAAATGAAAACATGGAAAAATTCCGTCGGACAAAGTATAAAATTTATATTTAAACACCTATATAAAAAAGTCATTATTCCCTGTCACCATCTGTTTCAACCCTAGTATAGATTGTAAAACTACTCTATGCCGTATAATCGGGCGGAAAGACCATAAATATGTCAGGAGCGATGGAAATAACATTTTGCGACCGTCTGAGAGTATGAAAAAAGCGTACTGCCTCTCTGGCTCGTGTGGGAAAGCGGGGGCCCACATATGCGGGCCTCTGACAATCATGCGACCGGACTTAGACGAAGCCTCACTCACTTGGATTACTTGTGTTTATAGCTCCTGGGGCTCCATGTCCTCAGACATCACTTCTTAGCCCGGACTGAGTTATTCGGACACATTCCAGCATTTCCATCCACTTTTTATAACCACTCTACTTGAACGCCTAGCCTAAAAGAAATACACTGTTTTAGGTGCATATAAATCGCACGTATGTTTTGGTATAACTTTCTATTTTTGGGGCATTGTATTTAGTATGTGGGTAGTCCATTTAGAAAATAAATAAGAACAATTCTAAAAACTGATGAAAATCATCAAATATACAATTAAGTTTGTATGAATCATATCTTTAATGATATAATTGTTCATAAAATATCAGGGAAACGCGACGTTGTATTTTTCTTTCGTCAAGCGTTCGATTAATGCATACTATTATTATAACTTTACCATTAATTATAATGAATTAAACAATTAACTAATATAAAAAATTCACTTCGAATATTCTAAATCATCCGTCCATTCTATACAAAAACTGTAATCTTTTTCTCGTTTTACTAGTCAATAAATAGGACCATTTATCCTAAATTATAAAAAATAACAAAATTAAATTCACAAAAATTGATAATTCCTTTATAGACATTTTTGTAAATAGTCCTATAACAGGAACAACAAATAATTAAACTATTAGTATTATTTGACGATTTATGGATTTATATTATTCTTGCCCGTGGAGGAAATTTGCAATATTTTTAAACGGCCAAGCTTAGTGCGGGAATAATAAATTATGGGCTGGTCCCATTAATGAATTTAATGCCTGGCGGACCCGTTGGACCAAATTCTGATTGGATTATTTCCCAGAACCGTATTGCTTTTGTCTTTTCGATTCCTCTTAAGGATTTCACTTCCATAATTCTGTGATCTATTACATTACAAGCCTCCCCTTCCCATTATTAAGCAGGCCGAACTTTATTAATTTCGCCGAAATTAGAAGAGGGGGAGCCGGGATTGTAGATTTTTCCCTTAACCATTTTACCACCCGGGGTAAATTTCGTTGTACGGTATTAATTTGTGATCTGGAACTAGATGAAGATGGATTCAACACGTGTCAATATTTGCTTTTATATTTTGTTATTCATTTAATTTATAAAAACTTATGACATAATTACCTACGTATTTCACTACTGTAAAAATATTTATTATATAGTTGAAACCGCGTGCCGTCCATAATGCTGTCTGGTTAAATAGTTTTTACATTAGCTGTGAAAGTTTAACCCTTTCTGGACATTTAAAAAGAGTTTTATAGAACAACCTGGTTTATCGTTGACTCTACTTTGGTTTCTGTGTTTTTCCGGGTAGGAGAAAAAAAGAAAAAGGGATTAGGATGGCTAAAGCGACCATTGACAACCACATAAACTCTTTCTTTTTTTTCTGTACTGCAATAAATAAATTACTGATATTTAAACAATGGAAGTATTTGTTGAAATTTTCCACCCACGTTGAGGTGTTAAAATTATAATATACTAAACCCGCATGACTTGCCAGTGTTGCGTAAGTGTTGCCTCTTAACGCCTACCCTACTACACAGTTTGGCCAAGCAGTAGGGACGTTTTAATAAGGTAATTTATTGTTGCTATCTTTAAATGTGATGGAATATAAAATTAGTGATTTTACGAGTGAAACATGTTCTTCAATAATAAATTTAATATATGGTTTTTGCCAAATGAACAAAAAAAAAAAGCCAAAATGCTAAATATATTTTCTTCAGAAAACCCCAGAAAATATTCTAATACTGAAATCTCATGATCATTGGGTGTATAATATCAAGTGCAAAATTCATTCTTCCTTTCTCTCTCTCTCTCTATCTCTCTCTCTCTCTCTATCTCTATCATTTCTCACTTCTTCTTCTCTCTCTCTCTCTCTATCTATCTATCTATCTATCTATCTATCTATCTATCTATCTATCACTCTATGTATCTTTATCACACACTTTTTCATTCACCTGTATATACTTTTTTTTTTACTTCCTACTTTCTACTTCTTCCTTATATATATTACTTTTTATACCTTTTGACTGGAAAAACCGAAAAAAAATTAAAAACAAATATTTTGTTTGATGGTTTATTGACATTTGTCATCCTAAATTTTCCTCGCTGTGACACCCTTTCTCTTTTTCTCTCTCACTTATACTCTCTATTTGCGCTAGAAAAACAGAGAAAATTCCAAAATGTAATATATTAGATATACTGGTTTAATGACATGCGAGATCCTAAATAATTCTATAACAGTTTATCTTTTAACTAACTTATCTTACTCTCTCACTCACTCTCTCTCTCACTCTCTCTCTCTCACTCTCTCTTTCTCTCTCTCTCAATTCTCTCAAAGTTACAATATATCACTTTTACACTCCTCCGTGAGACTTGTCTACTTCTACAATGAACCTGTTCCTCAATCCGTCAGACTTAATTATTTACCCCTTACATTTAATACAAGACTAACTTTTTCGTTATTTCTCACTTAACCGACAATCAAAATTACCATTAAAATCAAAACTTTCTACATACACATACTCAAACATTTTTAGATGTAGGGGTACCAAGTTTATGGATCGGCCAAATATTCCAATATTCAAAGATTACCAACTTTTCAATCCAAAATTTTGAAGACTAATTATTTCTGCCCATTTTTACTTAAGCAATAACCAACTTCACGGAGATCTTCTCATGCTAACAGTTTTTTCATCCATCAAAACATATTACAGACGTTTTCATAGCAAATAACAAAATCTCGCACATAAAATACGATCAGGTCATTCCCCACAATTACCACGTAAGCGACTGAGAAAAATATGGATAACAGATTTCTTTAGTAATTACTATAATTTTATTAATCCAGAGTGGCTGCCAGAGGATAGCTTTCTCTATAATCCCCGTAATGTCACAATCATAAACGGCAATCCTGGTTGTATTTTATTCATGTATAGTTGTAGAAAAATATAAATGACGTAAAAAATATAAAAGTCTTTCCATATAACTAAAATAATTTGTTTCCAATCATTGAACCTATACAACAATAAAAACGCTTCTAAATATATTAAAATAACCTAAAATTGTATTTTCTTTAGATTTTAAATTTTTTCGCAACCAGGTAATATAAAATTCTATAGTATAAAAAAAATTGAAAAATGGCAAAAAGGAGGGAAAACTCAAAAGGTGGGGTTGAGATAGGAAGTTGATGTCTGAGTGGATCGAGTTCAGGATAGCTCAAGTGGTAGAGCAGCGACGTATCTAGCCGAAGATCGTGGGTTGGAATCCCGCTCGTGCCATTGACTTTTTTTATCTCAACTAAAAACCTTAATTTATTATTAGTTAAGAAAGAATAGAAAAAAATATAAATTAGTGAATTTAATATAAAATTCGTTTTAAAAGTAATTCAACTTATTTGAAGGAAACCGTTGGTTAAGAAATGTTCTTACTTGCAAGACAACTGATTGAAAGAAGAAGAGAAAAATGTTTAACATCTTAAAAGCTTATAACCAAGTCGTTTTCTCTGCCAAATTCACAAGTTAAAAAAATTTCTAGCGTTTTGGCAATTTTCTCTACGACACGATATATTGACTATCGAGTACTATTTACTTTAACGTGGAGGATTTAATGAGCGATCTTTATCTGCGTCCGATGGCATTATCGCAGCGTGTTTTCCGTTGGAAAGTTTCACTTTGGAACTAACGAGGAAAACTTTCTATGCCAAATCGGGATCTTCACACTAAACCGTGTAACAATAATTTATTTTTTTAACCTATAGTAAAGGTCACTGTTAATTCAAATTTCAAAAGCTTTTTGTCGAATTTTGCTTATAAATTTATATGTGTGGTGATTAGTGACTGTTAATCGATATTTATGTAGAAATCGTGAGATGCGTTCTGGTGTGATGTAGGTTTCAGAAAAACATTTTTTTTATCGTGCCAACGTTTCGATCTTTTATTGAGATCATCTTCAGAGCCTGGGATTTACAAAAAAAATTTGTAAATCTCAGGCCCTGAAGATGATCTCAATAAAAGATCGAAACGTTGGCACGATAAAGAAAATGTTTTTCTGAAACCTACATTACACCAGAACGCATCTCACGATTTCTACATAAATATAAATTTATAATTATTTTCTGCATAATATTATTTGCTTTGCCTATAGAAAAATAAATATGAAATACATGAAAACAGATGTGAAAACACTTTTAATTAATTGACTTTTTATTAGCTTAGATTCATTATAAAGTCGGTTATAAGAGTAGAAAGGAGAGATGAACTATTTTATTAGTATCGTAGTCACAATTAAATGCTACATAAAACCTAGAATCGTCATGGGCATTCATGACGTAGTAGTGATAAGGATGTTGAAGATTAGGATGGGCGAGTGGGGTAAAGCATCACTAACCGACTCGGAGCGACCATAACAGTTACATTATCCGCATCTCATGCATTCACAAGTTCGAGGAGGGCAACGGTTAAAACATCATCCTTTGGCTTCAAGTTAAGCAGGCCGTAAGTGCATTAAGGGGTTAAAACTAGAGATTTGTAACGAGCTCCGCGGTCTCTGCGTTAATATTTAAACGGGGCTTTCGCCGTTTCCAACCTCGTGTTTGACGCGCAAGAATGGACAAACTTGCGCGCTGCAGTTAATCGGCTCTATTTCTCACTCTCTCACTCTGTGACGGAAAAACTTAAAAAATATGCCAAATACAAAACATTCGTATTTTCGGTGTTTAGACATGTAAGATCCTAAATACTTCATGTCCCTTCCTCTCTTACTCATTCTCTCCCCCTTCTCTCGTACTCTCTCGTTATACCACTTTCCCCCCTTCTTTATATTTATTTATATATATTAGATAGATCGATTGATAGTGCCTAGAAAGATCGGTAAATAAATATATTCATTCTTTTGTTTACAAATAATTTACATAAGACTGGCCTTACATAATTTTATATTCACTAGTTTTCGTGGTCCGGTTGACCAATTAATATCTTTCAATTAATTAAGATTTTTAGTTGAGATAAAAAGTCAGTGTCAAGAGCGGGATTGGAACCCACGACCTTTGGCTAGATACGCTTATTAATTTAAACTTTAATTAATTAAAAGATATTATTTGGCCAAGCGGACCACGAAAACTTGTGAATATTAAATTATGTAAAGAGCAATCCTATTTAAATTATATCCAAACAAAAGAATGTATTTATTTATTACGACTAGTGAATTTAATAAGTTAAATGAAGTATATCTTCACTAAAGCTCTCCGTGGCCATTTCATTTGTCGCCGAAAATCAAATAGATTAGACGAAATTTGAAAAATGGCAAAAAGGAGGGAAAATTCGAAAGGTGAGGTTGAGGTGGGAAGTTTGTCCTAGTGGATCATGATAGAGATCAAGTGGTAGAGGAGCGGCGTATCAAGCCAAAGGTCGTGGGTTCGAATCCCGCTCGTGACACTGACTTTTATCTCAACTTAAAACCTTAATTAATTGGTAGATAAATGTATATGTAGAATCGGAATCAGAAGTCAATTTTTTTTCAACGTATGTTACGTTTACAGTGCTCAGCACAGTTTTTGCTTCAAATTGGAAGGTATCATTTTTTTAAAGAAGATTTTACTTAGGACTCTTTTCTCATAGAGTTGGGCGTTTAAGGGTTATTGAGTTGTAAAAAAAAAATTCAAATTTTATTTTTCTTAATCGTCATTAATTTACCGCGTAGTACCTATATTATATTAATCATAGTCATTTATATTTTAAAATGGGTGCCATTTATCTACATATGCAACATCCAAATATAAACAAATTGCCAATATACAAAAACTTCTTCACTACCCCTTTAACTTTCTGGTATACTCATTTCCCCTTTCACTCTTTCTCCTCTCCCTCACCCCTCTCACTCTATCCTAAGAGTTTTCTGTTCACATTTATGACGAACGACTGAGTTGGCAGCACACATTAGTGTGATTCAGTAATTCTTTTTATTATTATTAATTGTACATGATATCAAAGTTATAATTTCCTTTATAATTGTGTTTCAGATGGACTAACAAGTACGTTGTTCTCGACTGTCCTACGGATATGGCAAAGGAAATTGTAATAACGCACGTACGAGATATAACGATGGGGAAAAGGACATACCATTACCTCCTTAGTGGTCTTGTAAGTACAGCCAATATTCTTTATAGAACTGGGTAAATATTTCTCAACGAATAAATATAACAAAAATCCGTACTGCGCGCATTTTTCCATTGGAGAAAAACCCAAAGGAATTCATTCGACTGTCAGATGCAGATAGAGCCTGGACGAATAATTGCGCTAATCTCCGCCATTCAAATTTACCAAATGTCAAGGCTCTATCAGAAAATATTATTTTTAAGAATTTGACAAAGTACTTCGGGGTTCGTTCAAATTTTTAAAATAACAAAGATTTCATGTAAATATGTGTGGTGTTTAGTGACCGTTAATCGATAATTATTCAGAAATCGTGAGATGCGGTCTGGTGTGATGTAGATTTCAAAAAAACATTTTTTTATCGTGCCAACGTGTCAATCTTTATTGAGATCATCTTCAGGGCTTTTTCTGAAACCTACATCACACCAGACCGCATCTCACGATTTCTGAATAATTATTTCATGTAAATTTAGCTGTTTTCGATGTTTCTAATATTGTTATGATTTCTTAGATAAAGAATAACCCGATGCATTTTGAAATAACAGCATTCTCTTTTATTCATATTCATACCAATAGAAACATAATTACCTCCCAATAGGGATCGCAATCTTAAATAATTGGTTTACGGCTTCGGGAGAATTGCTTCGTTAAAATTGCAATTAAAAGTTGTCCATAAGAACCGAGAGGAAAGTTTAGGTGACGGGAAGTGATAGGATAATCAGTAGGGCAGGACGAAAAGAAGAATAGCTTTATTGAACCGAATAACCAAGTTATATAATTCTTATCCCACCCGTGGGAAATCAAGTTGAAGCCGGATCAAACAAATCTTGGACCAGCCCATCCCAAAAACGTATTATTCATAGTCGTCATGAACCCCCACCAGATCAGAAAGGATTTATTTTATGTATTCCTGAGGTTCACCTGATTTACTCGATATCTGTCCGTGGGTCATAAATTTTACGCCGACATTGCCGGCGAAATATCGAACGAGAAAAATCTCCATAGGAAAAGTAAAATGAAAGGGGAAAAAAATAAAATCCCGCTATTACATTATACCGATATAAATACAAAAACCAAAAAATAGTTTATCATTTAGCTCGACATGATAATTATTTTACTATTTCAAAATGGCGAAAATTAAAAAGTACAGTTTAAATAAAAAAATTTACTTTTGAAAACATTACAATATGTCTAAGAAAAATGTCAGAAAAACTTAGCTTAACACCCGGTGGTTCTAAGCTAGTTGAACTGTAATCCAGTTTGAATTTTAAAAGTTTTCAGTTTCTTTTAAACATTTCGATGTTATCCTAAACTCCCTCTGGCTAAATCTGTATTGTGCTTGAAAAAAAACTGTCTTGGAGGGTTCCTTATCGTTCACGACGCTGTGAATAATGAAGAAGTGGAGTGGAAAAAAATCTCCCCAGCCTTATTGGATAAATTAATTGCCTATCAGTGCGACGAATCCAAAAGAATTAGAGAAGATCATCTCGAATATTGAGTCAGTTTTATAATAATATTTCTTTTGAGGAAAAGTCGAAGGTTTCTCAAGTAGTCGTCTAGGTTTTTCATTTCACTGTTGAGAATTTTAATATATCTTAATAATTTTAAATTTATTTAATGAGACGTTACTAACAGTGATAGTATGAGGATCTCACACAACAAGTTGATGAATACCAGCATGTCATTATTTATTATTTATCTTGTTAAATTTCAGTAGAAAATACTGTACAGCGGTAAATTTTAGTTTAAGAACGTTCCATCACTTCTGGAATCATTAATAAGGAGCGCCGGGTTGCAGGTGGCCAGAAGGTAAATGGTACTTAGCTCCACTAGTGTTACGAAAGTTTAATTGGCCCAATATAGGAAATGTCAGAAACTTTTGTGGTGTAAAAGAAATTTAATTTACGAAAATTCGCCTTCAGAAACAAGCTAATTATTTATTTCAAAGTTATCATTAGGTCGCGGAATTTTACTTCATTGTGGGATTTTCTACTTTGATTATGATGTGTGGTGATTAGTGACCGTTAATCGATAATTATTCAGAAATCGTGAGATGCGGTCTGGTGTGATGTAGGTTTCAGAAAAACATTTTCTTTATCGTGCCAACGTTTCGATCTTTATTGAGATCATCTTCAGGGCTCAAAGTGTTTGTCTTCTGTGTAATTGTGCCATCCTTGCGAGTCGTGTTGAGAGGGCCCCACTTGGCGAAATAACGAAAATGTTTTTCTGAAACCTACATCGCACCAGACCGCATCTCACGATTTCTGAATAATTATTTGATAATGAAATTTGAATGAAAGTATGATATTTAAGAAAAGAATGAACAACCTGTCTCCGTTTTCAGGAAGCTCTAAACACTATTAAAATTAAAAAAAAAACAGTCAGAAACATATGTGGAAAAGCTCGCAGCCGCGCAAAATCTATAAATACTCTATCCAGAATTGTGTCTTCCTGCTCTGCATGTTTTACAAGATTGGGTAAATGGTTAGATGAAGCAGAATATTTTTGCGAGAATTTCTACCAAATCAAGGGTTTTATACCAATTGATGATGATTATGTTACATCAATTGAAAAGGCAAAACATCTAAAGAACAAATACACTCATCCGTGATTTTTCACTCATTTCTGCTAATACCTGAGTATTGCTCATACGTACAAAAAATTCAAACCCAAAAACGTCAATTATTGACAGTATTGGTGTAGTTGAATCATAAAATCATAAACTTTTGAAACGAGGTTCGGAAATAATATTTTTAAAAAAAGTCTAAGGTGCGCTGCTGGAAAACCCTGTATTCTGAGAGGTAAAGAATTTCTGAACATCTCTGACATCTTGAAAAGAAGACTTCATACGTAGAAATTAATTTCAACATAAAGGAAATTTCATTGTTAAATTCTCTATAAAAAATGAGCATGCAAGTATATGTAGATAAGTGCTCCTTTAGCAGATACTAATCTATTTTAATACCTGAGACTAATTTTGAAATCATATTATCATATCATTCCAAATAAATTTAAAGGAGGAAAATTACAAAATCATCCTACGTCAGCAACATTTACATGGTATGTCATATGCCATAAAAATGAAATAAATGAAATAGCAAAATGTTGTTTTTATCATTTTTGGTTTTAACTTGTTTGAGGGTAACAAAAAATCGGAAGAATATGATAGCAATTTCAGGATTTTTTTTATATTGATGGTTTTGTATGATTTTTGTATGATTGAAAAAATTAATAGAGGCTTTGTTTCTGGCTAATTTTTTTAACTTACGTAAGCAGCCATAGCATGGGCCTTGTACATAATAAAATAATTTATTTGTAACCGAGTGACATGCAAATTATTCAGAAATTTTTTGTATCAAGAAACAAATTTGATATTTCATTGTGCATTACAAAGAACAAAATAATATATCTATGATATCTATGAAATGACAATCCACAAGGAACATAACAAGATTTAGAACCTTGCAAACTACACGTAATTGTTTTCTATGGTCATAAATTTCAAAACAAAAGATTTAAAAAAAACTAAGTCTCGAGGAGTTTTAATTTAGTTCCTTTTTATTTTCTCACTTACAATGGCAGAAATCTCGCAGAAATAGCATACTCTGAAGGAAAATATTCAGCGTTTTATGAGTTGTAGGAACTTAGAATTTGGATAACATTTAGAATAGTTACGCGTTTTCAGCGAGAAAAAATTGGTCCCAGCAAATCTGGACATTTCATGTTGTTTTTTTCCAGAGTGCATGAAATGTATCCGAATGTTTTAGAATTTAATGGCCTATCTTGTTGGCAGCGTCATAAATTTTTGAACAGGTTTTTGTATTCTAACCTTCCTGAATACAATATTGCTGTAGTTTTTTCTTCGTAAATACACAAATCTATGGATATATACCAATCTTGAAAAATATATAAAGCAAAGGCAAATAAATACACAAAATGGAATTTCGGACTCTTAGAAGAATTACATGGCAAGAACTCTCGTATACGTGTTTAATATTCGAACTTGTTTCACCGGGAAACTGTTTTGTTTCAATTAGTCAGTTTTTAAGTCCGTTGCATGACTGGTTAAACTTAAATTCACCGTGTCCGACCTGATTACCTCTCAAATTCTGTAACACCTTACACAAAAGTATGTTATAATCATTACCTAACCATTTAATTTATTTCTCTTCTATATATTACCTTTGTTCCTATATTCTGAAATAACATCCGTATGTTTTCCCAAATCTGAAAAAAATACATTGTTCAACTTTCTTTATTGCAATTAGCCTGTTAACGATTCTTGAAAAAAATTATAGAAGGAATCCTCCAAGCCTAAATTTTTATAATAAGATCTCTGACCATCAGATAGTCGCAACTGTCGCTCAGTCATTCAGCAATGTTGCCATGATTTTCATTATTTCTCTTTTGAGTTGAAGGAATAATAGCTTAGGGCCTTTCTTTATGTGTCTCAATCTTTTGGCGCCCGGACATTTTTTGCTCAAAGTCGTCTTTCTTTTTGCATTACTTTTAGCAGCTACTTCACTGACGGTACATTCTAATTACTGACTAGTCTACACCTTCCTACCTGAATTTCCTTTGCAGACGATACAACGACCCTCTGCAATTCTGGCTATGTCGTTCCCACTCGAAACTTTCAGCATTACCTTACACCACTACTAAATCCTAGTGTGCAAAGTAAATAATGATTTTTACAATGAAATTAAACAGGAACTCCGCACCCGAATTGTTAGGATGTCCGACCCTCGGTTCGTAGGCTCCTCATTAGTGGGTCCGATTCCCACCCTCACTCCTAACATTTTTGACGCTATTCCGCAACCCAAATACTTCATCAAATATACCAAGGCTTTGGCTAATATGCTAGACAATAATATCGTCATTATAAATGACAATCTGCGGTTCACAAGCATTTTTCATTTGGCAAGTAAGATTTAACCGTCAAGTTGTAATAGCAAGAAAAATACTATTTCACGATTCTTCTTGATAAA